ACTGGATTCAGGCGAATGGCCGATGGCGTTATTTCTCTTTCTCATTTCCTTCTCTGCCGTTGTAGAACTTTCGCGAGCCGGTCGCCACGTTTCGTCCATTTATCGTAAACTATCAGATCGTACCCTTTTCTCTTGTAGCCCGTTCTCCGCAACAGTGGATTTGATTTGCATTTGCCGACGCTCGATAAGGCACGTCGTGGCGCGCCCGAACTTCGTTTAGCTCTTAAATATCTCTCGGGGAAAATGATAAAAATCTGTTTATTTCACAAATGCCTTGCGACTCTATTAACTTTAGTAATTATTAAAGATGCGATCGATAAGTCCAAAAATTAATAAAACAAGACTCGAATTGTGTGTTTTACGCATACATATATTTCATACTTGATATTTCATTTTTCGATACATACATTTTTATGTATTTCGAAAGATTATATAATTTTTTGGGAGGAAATTGAATAAAATATGACGTATTTTGCGCTCGCGCGATATAACGTTTGCACATACTCGGCAATTTCTTTGCGAAATAATGTACGGAGTACATTTAATTAGAGCAAATTGTAACGAAAAGAATACGCGGGAAGAGACAGCGGAGTTGATAGAAGGAAAATTGTACCGGGCTTTAACGAGAAACTCTGCGTATCTTCTTCGTCGTTGTCATCACTTAACATCTTTCACGGTATCCAATTTAGCCTGTCGTTTTGGAGATTTGCTTTAGATAAATTTCTGTTTATTCTACATTTAAGCTCGAGTCAGAACGCCAGTGGCAAATTAATTTTCCGGCAATCGCAGGATATTTGTACGAGATACGTATACGGACATAAATCGATACTGAACAAAAATATTTTTCGTTGAATTATAATTGTATTGAAATTAATTAAGGCAGGCGATTTTATGTAATAAAATTAATGTTACAAAATTAATTATTATATATATTAATTATATAGAATTTATATAGAAATATATGTAGAATTTATATATTATATAGAAATTATTTATTAATTAAAACTAATTTAAATCAAATCTTTATATATTGATACAAATAAAAGAATTATTATTCTATTTGAAATTAAATTATAAATCTTAATTATACAACACATTGTATAACACTCAATTGAAACGCAAAATAACGTGATTGCTGGAAGTTATTTGAATGCCGATGATGACATAATGACTCATAATCAGGCATATTGCGATATTTTATAGGCAATCTCAGACCAAATGGCTAAAATGGATAGAGTTGTTAATAGAATGCAAATGAAGCGCGAAAAGAGTTTAAAAAATTATATTTACGTAATTTATTGCTAAAAAATTGAAATGTGTCACATCGATCATTTTATCGGTGTAGATAATTAATTTTAGTTGAATGGCAAGATTTGTTACTTAAATTGAGTTGTCAGCTGATTCAAATTATATTGATTCATAGTATTGAATTGTGTATTGAGAATATTACGTCATCGTAATTAAAAAAAATAAATGAAAAAACTTTGTTTGAGTATTTTCTACACTCGGAGAAAATAAAAGATTCAAAATTTTATATGTGAATATATAAAAATAAAAAAGATACTCGGGAAAAAGAGGATTATGAGGATCATGTGTAATATGCACAGTGAGATTTTGCTGTACATTTACGAGTGGACGTCCATTAACGCGTTTATCAGTAAATATTCGAAATTTACTTTCTTCTCAATTGCAACATCAATCATTCTGTTCTCTCGCATACGCTACGTCTGCAGTTAATATGTAATACATTGGCCGATTTAGCAACAAGAAATTTAGCACCGCGCACAAAAATATATTTATAAAAGAAACTAAAAATTTTGTAAAAAATATACAAATAAAATTATTTAATATTAATTTTTTTTACTTATGATGATCGCTTCTTGAATTCATGAATTGTAAGATAAATATAAATGGCAAAATTATTTTTACATAACATACAAGGAAAAGGTCGTTGAACAAAATTATCGAATTAATTACATAGATAATTATAAGAAATACGTCAGAGAGAGATAATTATAAAAAAATATCGCAAAAGAATACCAAATAATGTCGTCGCGTTTCTTTCCATCTCTTTATCTCTCTTCCTTGTAACATCGCGAATTACAGCTTAACGAATTCTCGATAGACTGCCAACTTTCCTCGCTTTTTATATCCGCCGAGTTAAAATCGACTGGAAACGTTTAATTGGCTATTCAATTACATGAATTGATGAAAGTTACGAGGTGTGGTGTCGAACGATAATCGGACGACCAAGATTAATGTTGTAGACCGCTTTTCGCGAAATTGATTGCACTGTTACTAGTTGGAGTCGATTTTTGAAATCTAACTACGGGCACAGAAGCGAGACTCGATCAAAGACATTCGCAGTTGCGAATGGAGATGATAGGACGATTGAGTTTCAATTCGGCTGATGCGTGTCGCGTATGTCGCTCGGATCTGATCTGATAGGAATGGTACTACGGGGGATCCAATGAAGTCGAAAATCAATAATTGATCTGCCAGTGGCTCGAAAGAGCAAATAATCCGCGCATTGTATCGCGATTACAGTGACGATCGATACGGATGAAAGCAATATGAGAGACCGTCTCCGAAATAATAGACATTTTTGATATTTAAGTCGTAACGAGTAATACTGATATAAGATTTTTATATTTTTTATATTTGAATACTATAATTTGTGGACATAAGTTTTTCGCGGAAATAGAGGGGAATTATTTTTGCATCTCAAACCAACATTCGCTATATTTTACTATGACATTGCTTTACTGCATTATTCGAGGAGATAACAGGGTGTCTAGCGGTCAGGAAAATCTGGAAAATCGGACATTGTCAGGGAAAAGTCACGAAATTACTATTTATCCGGATTTTTTTACATTATTCTACATTTGTCTCAATAATTTGAAATTTTTTATTACATAAATATAAACTTTTCCGTGACTCCCAGCATGCTAATTTTCTGTGTTGTTAAAAATTGATTCATCTACAGCGTGTTCGTTAATTTCTATTTTTATCGTCGTGTTATTTTATTTTAATGTGTTTGATAGAGACAAAATTAAAATATATATAATATTGATATAATTAAAATATTAAAATTGATATAATATGAATAAAAAAGATTATTATTTAAATAGTTTATAGTGACATGTTTGTTTCGAGTATCGTACATAATGCAGATTGTATAATTGATTTAAATTTTTAACTTTTCATTGTTGACAAAAATATCTCAAGGATTTCATGATTTAACATTTAATTGATTTATCATATATACATATATGCAAATTATATATTTGGATAAAATAATACTAAAAAACAATACTAAATAATACTAAAAGGGAAAAAATTAGTTTTGGAAAATTTGAAAAAGTCAAGGAATTTTTTCATTGAGTCTGCTCGACATCCTGGATAAGTACGTATTTTTGATAGGAATATTTGTATGATATCTTCAAAGTAGAAGCGAGTTCTTATACACGGCGCGTGGATAGGTGCATTATTCGCATAGCTGCATCGAGGAGTCCGCGGTAAACCGATGCACTCGAAGCGTGTGCAGCCTCACTGCCTTGCAATTCGCGGAACTCGATCAGTGATTCAGAATATCTCTGTCCCGCTGCTTACTGTGGATCGTCGTGAGTACCGGCTTATGTTATCGCATTGACCTTAATGCACGGGGCTGAGAGTAACGGCGGGTTAGTGCCTTTGTTACGGCGGGTGTAAAAATGAATATCTAGATGCAATACACGCGGCATGCACGCTGCATGCGCAAACTGCTCCGATGCGCTTTGGTATTGTGTGCATATGACTCTTCAAATGGTCGTTGCCTCTCGAAACAGGAATCGCGATTTTGTTGAACCAATCAGGTCGCGGTTAAATCATAAATATCTTCCGATAATCAATTTTTCCCCTTAACTTTTAATTTAGTTAGAATTGAATAACTGCATAATTAGATTTTATAGAATAATGAAATTAATCACTATCATAAGCAATATATTTTTATAAAAATTTTCTTAAAAAAATTTTATTACAAGTTTATATATTTAAAATATATACACGCACTGAAAATAAATTGTTAATAAATATTTCAATACTGCTTAATAAATTATTTATTGGAAATAAATAAATAGTTATCTGTTTTGAAAAGGACTTTCTTATATTAAACAAATATTTTTCACATCAAATCAATATTATTAGTTTCAAATAAATTTATAAGGCAGTATTGAAATAAATATTTATTCAAAGTTCAATTAATTTTTTTTTTTTTTTAGTCTGGAGAGAATTTTCTTTTAGAATTTATCTTGAAAATTATGGTAATCATGGGACAATATGATATTGGAAGAATTTTATAAGAGTTTCTCTGATTAATATTAACAACAATAAAATTATTAATACGTACATAGTAAAATTAATCGAACATATATTTTATATTTTATTGATAGATATTGAAATTATTTATTGCGTAAATATTAATCAGATAAACTCTTATAAAATTCTTCCAATATCATATTATCCCATCACGATTACCATAATTTTCAGGATAAATTCCAAGAGAGAACCTTCTGTATATAATTATAAATTTTAATAGAAAACATCTATAATCACCTAAATAAAATATTGCAATATTAAAAATTTACGGATTAAATTAAAAAAAAAATTGTCGAATAAGCATTGCAATTGCAGGTAAGAGGAATCACAAATAAGAGCTGTATAGCGAGCGTTTGAAGGGTGAAATAAAATTGGACGCTCCGTCGTCTCTTCTTGCAGTTCGATTGTCAGATATGATCGAAATGATTTACGATTTGGATTCGACAAGCTGGTTAGATTTCGTTCTCGCTCGTCCGGCACACGCACTTTGTCGGCGCGGCGCGTCGTCTGGGACTCCGGGGTGATTGTCTGGGACGCTTGCGTCGCGCTCGCGTCGCTCCCCGTGTACGCCGGCGTTGCTCCGGGCAACCGATGGGGATGAATCTACGCGACGCCCGGCGTCGAGTTTCCTCGTAGCGAGCGGGCGGGGCTGTTACATTCTCTCAGTGCGCTCCACGACGCCGAACTGACCACGTACAACGGCACCGTCTCGACCCTACGAGTCTCCCCCTCTCCCCCTCTCTCTTTTCTCTCTCTCTCTCTTTTTTCTCTTTTTCTCTTCCTTTCTTCCTTCCGAGACACGCGATCGGAATATCCTCGTGCGAGTTCCATTCAACCTCCGCGAAGCACTCGCGAACGGGAGGGAACTTTGTCGAAAGTTAACAAGTGCCGAATGGGATAGGAGAACGGGTGATAGAGAAGGGGAAAATTCGTGGTAGTGTCGTGTCGCGAGGTGAAACGGGATCGAGAAGGTAACGGGATCGATTAATTGGCGAACGAGCAGCGACGTGAACTCGAGAGCATCCTTGAAAAGTGTCGAGGTAGAAGGATTAAAGGGTGGGAAGACGCGGCTATCGGGAGGATAAATCGAGAATCGAGATTGGTGGTTTTCACGTGGCAAATCATTATAACGTTTGTTTGTTGCGGCTGGAGATAACATTTTCCGATTAAATATCGTAGGTATTTTTGTAATATTCTAAAAAAAATTTGTTTGACACTTTTGTGAATGATTTCGTGGAATTGTCATATTTTTAACTTGATTATCGCGCGCATATTAATATTACTAGAAATATTGAAGAAAAGATATTTGAAAATTAGAGTAAAGTATTATTAATTATAGTCAAATTGATTGTAATCTTCAAATTGTCATATTAACGTTAAAAATGTCGGAAAATTCAGTTTTTAAAATTTTTTGAAAAAGAGACCAATAACGAGTCAGAGATTAGTTTTTAATGCAGACGGATTAATATAATCAACAAGTCGTTTTAATCGATGGTGTATGTCGAGAGCTTCGCGAGACTACAAAGCGATAGAGAAATTAAGAAAGAGAGATCAACAAGTCGGAGATAACGATTAATTGACTCGAGAAAATGATCGTCGTAACTATGATTATCCCGTGGGCGATCAACGCTAACTGCAGCGCAACTTTGCGGAATAATTCTCCGCTTGCCGATGATCCTTGTTGAGTGTTAGGGAACTTCGCTGAAGACTACGTGGTTCTCTGAGGATCGGAGTTAGTCCTGTAACGACGTGAGGAAAGTTTGTGATTGGCCGGCGATGTTTAGAGAAAATTAATTGCGAGTTAAGAACTCTAGTGACGCGTTAAGTCAATGGCGATCAATATTTTATGAATCGCTGGTTAATTTGACAAAAAGTTCAAACTAAAAGTTCGGCGAGAATCGAATTAAAAAAATAAGTCTTTATCGTGCAATTTGTTATTTAACACGGATAATTTAAGATTTTATTTTACATTTTATATTGTCGTGCACGGGATTAACTTATATAGTAAATTTGGGAATTAAACAGGAACTTTCGATTACTGCACTCATCATTTAAGAGAGAATTTCTGTAATCCGACTTCATATCGCTTGTCGCTTTAACAGTGATCACGGTTGAACACTATCCGATCTAAACTAACTAGATACCCTTCGAGGATGGAAGTTATCCTATTAATGATGCACCACAAAGTTCGCGATCCAATTCCATTTGTAATCCATGGTATGATCATTCTATAATGGGAACTATTAATTAGAGAATAATACGTTGATTTTTATTGTCATAGTAAGAAAAGAGCTTATTTTAAATATCGTGAAAAACCTAAAAAAAAACTTTATAGCCAGATGTATTATTTTTTCGAACTTCCTTATACATATCTAATATATTGGAAAAAAATTATTTTAGGGAAGACATGGTTAATGCTCTCGAGATATTAAGAATTTATTGATAAAAGCCACCAATCTCGTCAGTTGTTAAATAAGATTTCGGATTGTTTATTAGAGTATCTAATTTAAAATTAATTTGAAAGTTTAATTCTTAAATTGATGTTTAATGCAAGATATATTGAAATGATTATGATATATCTTGTGCGATTAGCCGCATCAAAATAATTGATTATGAGCGTTCTTCTTGGTTGAAATTCTTGTGAAAAGTGATTATCGCGCGTGTTTTTCTGTCTTATCAAGAGCAAGGAGCTACCTGGATCAGACGCAATCGTGATTGTAAGTCTATATGAGATTCTTTTTTAACACAATTAAAAACAAGTCGTTGCGGACTTCTTAACGATCCAAACTCCTTGAATAAATCATATTACTTCTCCCCGATCTATCCATCTTTCCAACTTAATGAAATATCTAGTCACTTTTTATTCTAATATACCCGTGTAAAACATCTTTAATGAAATCACAAGTCGCGATTTGTAAAATTTAGAAAGAAGATAATTTGCCGCTGATAAGCACACATTTTTTCATGAGTTTCTGTATTTTATTAATTTAAAAATGGAATTAATAGGTTGAAATTTAAATTGCGAATTGCAATTATTATATATTAGTATAATTTGACATAAAGTCTGCGATAACAATCGCAAAACAAATCTCGATCAATTTCATCGAAAGGAAATGGTGTGAGATGTCATCACATTTTTATATTTCTTCGCAATTATTCATTCTTTATGTGAAAGTTCGTAATAATCAAACTTAACAAATCGTTACTATTATGTACTCATTAGAACACATGTTTGCCGTTATCTAAATAAAATTATATAGATGATCATCTGGATAAAATTTTGGCGTCATCTTATCTTTATATAGATAATAAAAATATGTATTATCTATATCTGCATCGTGTAGATAAAAAAAGTATTATCTTTATTAAATTATGTAGAATAATCAATTCAGATAATTTGATTTAGAATCAAAAGACAAACACTTAAATAATAAAACTTGAGCAGTAAGCGATAAAAACATACAAATAAAAATATAAATATATTTTTATATCCCTTTCATAATATACATTTTCTTAATAACTGTGTTTATATAAGTACTTTTAAAAATAAAATTATCTGAAAGTTATCCAGATGAATCGCCATATAATTTCTTTTATCTAGATATATTTAAAACAAAATTATCTTCATCTTATCTAAGATGAATTTACAAATTTTTATTCAGCTAATCAAAGAAAAGTTTTTCTCTATTTGACCACACTGGCAGTGATTTGTTTAATTAATCATCAACACAATGTTTCGACCATGGGTTTTCTCAAGTGTACTAAAACTTCCGTTATAAGTGTCATTAGAACGCCAGTAATTTCACAAACCAAAGGATAAAAGAAAATTCTTTTTGTTAAAACTCATTGTCATTACATATAAGAAGTTAAGAACAAACCCCTAACAGAAAGAATTCAATGACAGTTATAACGGAACTTGATCCACTTGAGAAGAACCAAAACCCATGGTCGAAACGTTGTGTTGATGATTAATTCAATAAATCATTGCCAATGTGGTCGAATATAGAAAAATCTTTCTCTGATTTTGATTTACTGTCGACTTCCAATTAAATTCGAATGATTTATCTAGCTAATTTTAAACAACACTTAAAAGCAAGCGTACGCATAATAAGGTAGCCGTACAGACAAACTTGCAGTGTTTAGACACACGCGAAAATTACAAGTGTATGCAAATCGGATCGGGGGGTGAGCACGAGACGAAATTCGATTAAGAGACCAAGTAACGAGTTAATTGCACGCGATTAACCGCGCGTTAAACTGGCCCGCGGTGGTGACCCTCTGAAAGCGCCGTACGTGTACATTGTTTGTTTATTGGCCGCTCTTGCGAGCCGTTGTCTGATCATTGGCCGCCGAATTCGCTGGGATTATTTTCTTCGCTGTTCGTATCATCGCGCGCTAACAACCATTTTCGTTCAATGGTTTCCGATCGATGCTAACGGAATGAAATAGAGATTATCCCTGGATTTGCCAAAAGTTTCCTGTGCAATTTTCGAAATGCATTTCTCATAGGAAAAATTTCGCATTAGATGTTATATATCATTGATGGGAATCCCAATTTTTAAATGGAACGTTTTCAAAAAATGAAGTCTGAAATGAAGATTCTGGTAAATCTTCTATATTTGAAAATAATTTTTTCACTACGCTTTTCGATCTTTTATTGCTTATAACTTAAAAATTATAGACTCTTGAATACTAAATCTTAACTTAATTCTTAATTATTATATCGCTTAAGAGACGTAAAGGAAAATGTGTCTGTGTAAATTATTATTCTGAGAGAAGGCAACACATGTTTATCGGAATTTCCATTTTGACGCCATCGCGGCGAATTTTACATGCCGTATCTTGAATTATTCCGATTATTCCGATCGCGATCACCTAAGGGAGATTTCTTAGCCTATACGTGCTTGACGTCGCGTCGCGACGACGACGCCGATCGAGAATACAGAGCAGGACCGATTTAGGATGGAGGGTGTGAAGGCAAGGAGAGGTAGTTGCTTCGAAACTTTCACACAAAATAGAACCATCCATAAAATTGAAATAACCCGTATTCACATCTTTCATTTATTATAGACTATGACAAGCGTGACTAAAGTATGCCGATTCGGAATTACCAATTATAATCTTTTAAATGTTAACTAGTATACACAATAGAGCATTAAATATGTTAACATTTACACACATACATGCACACGTGCATGCACAATATAAAATATACCATGTATTTATAGTATTTCTTGTTCAATAATTAAATCTTTAATTATATTAATAATTTAATAAAACAAATTAAGCGTTATATATTTAGCATATATATTTTTTCAATTAGTTACGAAGAATATTTTTCAAAAAGAATTTTTTATGGGAAAATTTTTTATCACTGACGCAAGCTTTGTTTTTATCGATAAATATGATTACGCCTCCACTTACATTATATCATAAATTTCGAAGCGTGCTCGATGAAGCGAGCGAGTGCACAGCTTCTCTCGTCGTCGCGTCGTTGTTCATCGCAGGTGACGAAATCGCAATTTCCGCGCTTTGCCGTTACGCGTGCTCGTGCATACGTGTGCGTGAAGCGACGAGGCGCGAGATAGAAGCCAAGAGTATCTCTCGCGCGGAGACGCGATGGCCCGTAAGCTGTAGATAAGAGGTGAGGCAAAACTTTGGCTGGCTACGGGATAGATATAGGAGGATGTGGCGCGCTTTTTTCACTGTCTGGGGACAACGGAGTAGATACGCCGGAAGGGCGGAAAGCACAACAGGGGAAAGAATGTCTGGCCGAGACCGCTAAGTCGAAAAATACAATGCGTTGAATGCAAAAGCGAAATACCGGCGGGAAAATTCATGTGGCCGCGAAGAGCCAATTTATCTGTACGATTGTTTCGAAAGAAATTCACGTTGTAAACTACTTAAATGGATTAGCGATATTAATTTGATGTTTCACATATAGGATAGGATTTATCAATTAAACTTATTAACAGAATTACTATATATTTATATATACACAGGATGTCATGTTTTTGGTATCATTCGGAGATGGACATTCGGATTTTTCCTCAGCGAAAATGTCGAGACACCAATAATTTTCGAATTATAAGCAGTTGAAAAGGCTTTTTTGGAAACTAAGTTTTGTGGAAATCAAATATTAACAGAACTACATTCTTCAATTAATTTTAGATAGAGTTTGGTTAAATAGAATTTTAATATAAGGCTTAGTTATAAAGATACATAATAACAAAAATTGGGAACATGCTAAAAATGATGGCCTTCCTCAACATTTTCACTAAGGAAAAATCGTCTCCAAATGATACTAGGAATCTGTCATTAAAAATTTCCATCAGTTCTGGAACACTCTGTATATATATTTTCTTGAGATGTTTTGATTTAAAAATATAATAAAGCGTATAGAGAGAACTAATAATATTAAATTGAATTTGACATTACACGCGTTTAATGAAAATGACGTAGAATATACATTGATGACTTTTTACATCGCGATTATCCAGTTGATTTATATAATTTGGCAGTTATTCGTTATTTAATAATTGTTTTATTCAAAGCAATTGCTATATTTTATTAACAATTATTTACAATTATTAATGATTCTGGTTATACATTTATTCGTCATATATGCATCCGTTGTAGCATTCGCTTTATATTACTTCATAAGTTTAGCATGTTACCTGAGGTAATGCTTTTATTAGATCTCTAGTGAACTAACAATTATTATATACTCCCATTAATCACAGTGCTCGTTAGACTAAATTAATGACTCTTACGAGATAGTAGAATCTAAATTGATGAAGACTGCGATATAGCGCAAATATGCTTGAAGCTTCATATGAAAACAAAGATAAATTATGACATTTAATATTTGCATAATCTTCGGTCAATGTAGAAAAGGAGAATATGACATTTATTATTAAACTCGGAAATGTTGGTTTTCTGTAATAAAATGTCGACAAAACTCAAGTCTCGTTAATAATTAACTAAAGAACTTGCCGTGTTACATCGAAAATCCCTTTAACCTAAATTCCATAAATGCGGATCTGATGTGAATTGATGCCATCGATATAGATTCGATTATAAATGAAGCTTATGCAGATGGTACACTTTGTCCGATGATATATTAAACATTTAATTCTAATTTCTCTTAATCTTTCAACACTGCAAATTCGCCTTTGATGTACAATAACGATTAGGTAATCGCTTTGCTGGACGTTCGCACAATCGGTCAGCTCGGGCGTGGATTTACACACACACACTTGTGCGTACACAAACGTGAGCATGCATGCGAGCACATAGAGCCTGGCTTTTGAAATTAGATCATCGAGTCGAGGTAAAGTCGAGGCTGCGCGCGAAGGTGGGATTCCGAATCTTCGAATCGGCTTAATGTCGAATCCACGAATAAAGCCGGTACGCGCTCTTCGAAGGTCTGTTAAGCCGTCATTTAGTCTGTACACTACTGATTCTCCGGCGGGAATCGCATATATTCGTTTAAAGCACCGTTTTCTCCGTGTATTCCGCGGATTATTACATCGTACTTTTTGAGCCTCAACGTTACCGGGGATAACGTGTTGCCCGCAATTTTGAAAACGGGATGCAAAGCCGGATCTGTTTTATGTAACATTTTGCTTTACTAGCGAGATAGAGACAATTAATCGCGAACGTAACTCACATGGGGATTATTACTTTATTAAGTATCTCCGGCGATTTAGCCGCG